GTCCACCCCCAATCTGCTTCATCACTCTCAGCTCCGGAACTTTCTGCCCTTCACCAGGTTGCCCGGGCTGGCTTCCACCTGCCCCAGTCTTCCCTCAGCCTCTGCCCCACCTCACACTTGGTGCCGCTAGTTCAAATTCCCAAGACATAATCTGGTTGACTGGGTCTCAGCCCCGCTCACGGGCAAGCCCACTGACTGGCTGCCCTTGATCAGGGCTCGCCTTTCGTCCAAACAGTAATGGTAGAGTGCATGCGGGGTGGGGAGTCACGTGACACACAACACGGCCACCCCCATGGCAAGGACTCAGGCCAGGATAGTTTCCCGTAGAAGGGGGGGAGGCAGAGCGGGCATGTCCCCAATATATTCATTTTATATGTGAGGACTGTGTCCCAGAAAATGGAAGTGACATGGATAAGAACCTGTTCTGTAAGCTGTAAAATAATATTTATATTATTTATATGTAATGAATACATATCTATTATTTACATACAACAAATACCTATGATTTATATGTAATATATATGATTTACATATAGTAAATATACATTATTTATTATTTATATATAATAAATATGCATTATATATTATTTATATATAATACTATCATTTATATATAATAAATATTCTTTATATAGAGTAAATATCTATTACATATATTATTTATGTATAATAAATAAATATGTTATATATATCATGTTGTTATTATCCCAGTTCACCATGCTACTTATTAAAAGGATTTTATCCAGGGCATCTGGGTGGCTCAGTCAGTGAAGCATCTGACTTTGGCTCAGGTCATGATCTCACGGTTGTGGGTTCGAGCCCCACGTCAGGCTTTGTGCTGACAGCTTTGTGATGAGAGCTCAGAGCCTGGAGCCTGCTTCAGATTCTGTGTCTCTTTCTCTCTCTGCCTCTCCCCTGCTCATACTCAGTTTTTTCTCTCTCTCCCAAAAATTAATAAGCATTAAAACATTTTTTAAAGGATTTTATCCAACCTGACTCAGCTGGCTGTGCATCACTCATGTTCAGGGAACCAACATGATTCTACCAGGAATTAAGCAAGGCTCATCTTTACAAAGCGGCCCCACTCCATAGAGTAGCCAATCTTTGGTTCTGAGCTCTAAAACATGAATTTTCCAAAAGAAGAGGGAAGGGAAAGAATATTTTTCAAAGGCCAAGTACACAGCAGGCCCTGTATAGATGAGGTGTCTCGTTCAGTCCTCATTGCCCTGTGAGAGAATTGTCATCGTTCCTTGTTTCGTGACATCACACGGTATAGTGAGTAGCTATGTTAGAGTTTCCTGCTGGTTTCCCCTCCTGCCAGAGGAAGGCACGCACGGAGACATGTCTGCTCCTTCCCCCCCAACTCCGGTGCTGGATTTTGTGTCCACCCCCCCCCCCCGAAGCCTCCATCCTTCTGGCCTTTCCTGGGACCATCAATACTCCATACTTTCCGTTGTCACACTCGTAGCTGTGAAGGACCCAATTGTGCGGTTGATCTATAATGCAAGGTTAATGCCTAATTAGCTCCTTTAACATTTCTTTTGTGGATAATTCATGATAGGTCATTAACAAAAGCCAGGGCAAACGGAGGGGCAGATTCATCCCCATAAATCAGAGGCCTGAAAACATCATAGAAACAGGAAAATGCATGTATTATTCAGGTCAAACAAAGAGCCGGGTCTGCCTAAGGCTCCCCAGTGCTCTTCTGACCCTGAGGTCAAGGGACCACGTGCAAGACTGGAGGGATATTTGCTAATAGCAGAAGCAGTCTGTTCGAGGCCTCAAGGGGATGCACACCTCCTGGTCAATGTAAGGCTACACATCTTAGTGTTAAACTTCTTACACCACTTCTGACTACCAAGTAATGCGTATCTACCATGTCCATAAATAACTACCATTTATAGAGCATCTACAACGTCCCAAGCTGTGTGTGTGTGTGTGTGTGTGTGTGTGTGTTCCACGTATCAGTTAGCTATCGCTGCATAACAAACTACCCCAAAACTCAGTTTTTATGAGTCTAAGTCTTAGCTGGTTGGTACTGCTGATCTGGGCCAGTTCATCTGATCTCAGCTGGGTCCTCTCATGGCTCTGTGTGCAGTGGGTAGGTTGCCTAGAGGCTGCTACTATCATATGACCTCATTTACACGTCTGGCTATTGATTGGTTGTTAGGGTACCAGGGGTGACAGGGCCACATGTCTCATAGTGAGGGCAGTGTTCCAAGAGTTAGATTAGAGGTGTGCAAGACCTCTTGAGACCCAGACTCAGAGCTGACATGCTGTCACATCTACAGTATGTTATGGGCCCCAAGTCACAAGCTCAGCTTAAGATTCAGAGATGGGCAAGGAAATCCACCTTTTGGTAGAAGGAGCTTCAAAATCACTGCAATCACAACTATTCTACCACAATCCAGTTTTCCTTGAAACAAAACATGTATGCCTTCTTCCTGCAAATATTTATTGAGTACCTACTGTGTGCCAGGCACTGTCCAAGGTGCTAAAGACACAGACAATGAATGAAAAGAAAGTATCTACTCATATGGAACTTAATTTTGGTGGAAAATAAGAGACAAACAGTAAACAAGTGAATCAATACATGTACAATCAATACATATATACTTTGAGTATGTATATTAAGAGTATACTTTTAAATGCCATCATGAAAATATCACTGAGTGACTGCTTATTCATGGTCCAGAGGCAATTTTGGTGGAGTGGTCAGGGAGGATCTCTCTGAAGAGGTGACATTTCACCTGAGATCTCACTGATGAGCAGAAATCAGCTACACACAAGTGGGGAGCAGAACATTCTAGCAGGAAGAAGAATGAGTGCAAAGATCCTGAGGCCAGATGGCTTCGAGCAATGAAAAGGAAGCCAGTGTGGTTGGAAGAAGAGAACTTCTGGATGAAGTCCAGGAGGTAAGTGGATCCTTGGAGGGAAGTACAATGACGGGTGAGGAAAACAAAGAGGCAAGGCAACTTGCCTAAAGAAGGTCATGAAAGTAGCTAGCAAGAGGATTTGAACCAGGGGCCATCTGAATTCAAAGTCACACCCTCCACTGCCCCACCCTGCCTCCTAGGATAAATACCAAGCTGGGACTTTTTCATGTGGACAAATAAGACCTCAACCTTGAGAGAATCTAATGTGACGATGGCAAAACTCAACACTTGGGCTCAGTCTCAGCTAACCTCACCTCTGGCCGCTCAGCTCTACACTGCTCCTCCGGCAACTGTCAGACAAGGCCACGCACCAGAGAGCCTCCCGACAGCTTGACCTGCAACAGCGTCCCCAGGCGTCTGCCCAGAGGGAAGCATTGCTCATTGGCTCCAATTTTTTCTAGATGATTCCATCTTCTCCCCATCTTGGGTTTTTTTTTGAGGGGGGAGGGAGAGCACCTCCCTGCCCCCTAATCATACTCTACCAGAAATCTTTATGACCTTCATTGTAGGAGCTTTGCCCAGGGTGGGGTCGGGGGACAAGATGTACAGACATGGCTGATAAACCCTGTACAAGATGGAGAAGGTCCACTTCAAGAATTCAGACATCTTAACTTTTCAGACAAACACAAGCAAAGAAATGCATTGTTTAAAATAGGACATTCATTTGTGCCAAATATCTTAATGGAGCGCCTACCGTGGGTCAAGGACAGGTCTAACAGTGCGGACAGAGCAGTAAGCTCAGCCCCTCTGCTTTGCCGGAGGCCCAAATGTAGGACATGTGAGAGGGTCATAAATGGGAGCAAGTGGGTCCTGGGGAGCGGTGTAGGGGGTCAGGGAAGGCTTCTTGAAAAGACGCTCAATGAGTGGGAACTTGACAATGAGGAAGAGAAGCCCACAGCCACTTGCGAGGGGAGCAGGAGTGTGCTGAGACTCTTCTAGAACGTTTGAGAGACCAATGTGCCTGAACCAGAGTGAGCAAAAGGGGGGGGGGGTAGCCAGAAATGAGGGCAGCCAGGTCTTGGAGAGTCCGGCAGGCCACAGTCAGGGCTTTGGCTGTCACTCGGGAGAGCCAACAGCCCTTGGAAGGTTCTGAGCAGAGGAGGGACACAATGCAGCATCCACTGGCTGCTGTGGTAAAGGCAGAAACTTCAGGGGCAGAGGCCAGGGAAGGCAGAGAGTCTTTTGAGGAAGCTTTCGCATTTTCTCAGAGGCAACGTGATAGCGGCTCAGATTTGGGGGTAGCAGGTGGGAAGCGGTATTTGAGTGAGCAAGACGGGTAATCAGCAGACCCTGCACCATGAATAATTTAATCGAGATGATGGGTAGAAATACAAGAGAGGCACAGGATGCTATAAAGATGTATACGAGGAGACTGGTAGTCTGTTTCTTTAGGAGGACATAGATTAGGCAGGGAAGGCTTCCCGAAAGAAGGGGCAGACCAGCTGCTTATCGAAGGATGCATTGAGCTAGTTAAGTGAAGACGGGGAGAAGGAAGCGCATGAGCCAAAGTCCTGGGGCAGGAAGGAGATGGGGAGGCCGGTAACAACGTGTTCTTCCTTCTGCGATGTGCCGCCCTGTGTGTTTGCTTGGGAAATAATTAATGATTCAGACACTTCATGGCGAGAGGCCCACACTGGCTCCGCATGGCTATTACCACTGGGTTTTTTTGTTTTCTTCCCCCTCCGGAGGCAGTTAAGGAGGGCTCAGACTTTCCCACCAAGCAAATGAATAATGAGGACGGATCCAACCGGCTAGGCTGGGGCGTGATTAATAACAACGGTGTGACTTGGACTTGTCCCGAGCTGAGTCCCCTCATGGGGAAGAGGCCCTGGCAAACACATCGCTGTCCCAACTCCCTGCCCCTGGAGACAGCCACGCTGCCTTACTGAGCTCAGCAGGTGTGGGGGAGATGGGAAGATGGCCCCTCAAAGGGGGGGGGTCAAGATTAAGCACGTAAGCTGGCCTTTTAAAAGCTTAGCGGGCCTTTCCAATTGGATCTCAAACGGACCACACTCGAGAAATTAAATAAACAGCATTTGTCAAGGGCTTTTGTGGGCTCCCAGCTGTATTTATTTATAGGTTGGTCTGTTATTTATGGGTGCTCGTGCTCCATATAAAAGCTTTGTCAGAGAGAGGGGGTAGGGAGGGGGCGGGGTGCTTAATGCATGCTGGGACACTTATGTACGCACTACAGGGAGCTCAAACGATGAGCATTGGCTGCTTTCATCCCACAGAAGCTGGGTGCTCAAACACATCAGGACGGCCTTCCCGGGAAAGGCCAGACCACTGGGCACCACCACCCCCCCCCCAAACAGTCAGAGGTCCCCTCGGAGACCCGTGAGGCCCGGTTCCCAGAGAAGAGTTGAAAATCTGAGGTCGGTCACATCTTTGATTCATTGTGGCTTCTGACTCATCCTGGGAAGACCCAAGAGGGAAGCCTTGAGAAACACCAGCGACAGCCTTGCACGAAGACGGTTCTCCATAGATGTTGCTCAATGAATCACAAATGACCATATGCTGTCCCCAAAGTCATGAAATTGAAAAATGCGAGGGACCTCAAGATATCACGTGGAATCTCTCGGCCGGCGGGGGAGGGGGGTAAGTTGGCGATACCTATCTGGGGCTTTCGCCGTTCACAGCTTGACCTTGGTAGGTTTCTTCTAAAAATTCATCCAAAGCAGAATTTTCCATCCTAAGGAAAAAAAGAGGGAAGGGAAGGAGAGGAGAGGAAGGGGAGGGAGGAGGGGAGGGGAGGAGAGAGAGGAAAGGGAAAAACTTCATGCAAAAAAAAAAAAATAGATGATCGTTGCCACATTGTTTGTGACAGTGAAGAATTAAAATGATGGACTATTAACCCAGGAAGACTGATTAACTTCCAGACTTGCCACCAGTGGTGAGTTACTACACATTTGTTTAGAAAAATCTACACAATACAGAAATGCCCATGTTAAAATACTACAGGAAACGGCAGGAGGCAATATTACCTTTATAGTATTATTAAAATCATGCGATTTTTTTTTTTACTATTGGAGAAAAAACCCCCTCAGGCGAAAGCATTCTAAAACGTTAAAAGACGTTATGTTTGCAAACGAGAACTGTCATTTTTAGAGATTTCTTTCATTTTCGGGGCACCTGGGTGGTTCAGTAGGTTAAGCGTCCAACTTCAGCTCAGGTCATGATCTCACAGCTCGTGAGTTTGAGCCCCACATTGGGCTCTGTGCTGACAGCCCAGAGCCTGGACCCCACTTAGGATCCTGTGTCTCCTTCTCTCTCTGCCCCTCCCCAGCTCATGCTCACTCTCTCTCCTTCAAAGATAAATAAATGTTATATATATATATATATATATATATATATATATATATATNATGGTCCCTAGGGCCAAATAGTTGGACAGCCAACAAAGAGAGATAAATGTTATATATATATATATATATATATATATATATATATATATATATATTACATACTCAGTAGTCTGAGCAAACTATGATCCTTTGCTGAGTCCCAGCTCATGCTCACTCTCTCTCCTTCAAAGATAAATAAATGTTATATATATATATATATATATATATATATATATATATATATATTTCTTCTATTTTTCTAAATGTCCCAGTTTTTGCTAAAATTACATGCCTGTTTGATGATTAAAAAATCATACTCGATCAATTCATCATTTACTAAATAAATAGTATTCTCCTGCCACCAGAAAAGCCTCTTTTAATTTTTTTAAAGTTTATTTGTTTATTTTGAGAGAGAGAGAGCACAATCAAGGGAGGGGCAGACAGAGAGAGGGAGAGAGAGAATTCCAAACAGGCTCTATGCTCACAGTGTGGGGCTCAATCCCATGAACCATGAGATCATGACCTGAGCCAAAACCTAGAGTCAGATACTTAACCGACTGAGCCACCCAGGCGCCCCAAGAACAGCCTCTTTTCAAAGCATCCAAGGAGAGATAATCCACTAGGTGTTTTTTATTGGTCCTATTATGAAAAGCGTTGGCATGTTGCATCCCCTCATAATCATTTTATCATCCCGGAAGAAAAGAAATGTCTACGAAATATGAAAATGTCAGAAGCACAAAGCCATCATTTCAGTTTCTATTCAGAGCAATAAACAAAAATATGCGCTTCTTCCGTGTGTCTCTTTCCCCCTTGCCCTATTTATATATGTCACCCTCCTGGCCGCTACAACCTTCACACCCCTAAAACTTCCCTTCTTCAGGAGTCGTGGTCCTTCATCGTACATTTGCCTCTTTTCTTGTGACGGAGCCCCTAAAACCTTCCTTTATGACCATCGCTAGCCCACAGCCTCGGTCCCTTCTATGTGAATGCAGGCAGGGTGACAGAGCAAAGCTGCGGCTACAGACTCAGACTCACGTGGACCAAAGTCCAGTCAGGGCTTCGTCACTTCCCGTAGCAAGTCACTTAATCCCTCTGTGTGGCAGTTTCCAAGCCCGCTAATGGCCCAAATATTTAAGCAAGAAAATAGTAATAATAAAGTCAGAGTTGTCAGAATGACGATTAATGTATAACTAAGAGGATGTCAGGCACTGGGCTAAGTGCTTTACACACACAGGTCATTGAAACTCCCCCTCCATCCTACGAGGTCGGTGCTATTTCCCCATTTTACAGATGAGAAGACAGACCAGTAAGTCATCGTGACGGCGCATGACGTGCTCACCTTGGCGCTAGATCCTGGTCTCATCCCATCCTGATGCCAACTCCCTTGCTGGAGGAGAAAATGATCAGTACCCATTTTCTAGATACAAACATTGAGGCTCAGAAGGGTAAAAGGTTGAACCAGGCTCAAGCTCATAGGTAGAGGCATGTCTCTCATTTAACACTTTCTCCGCCGCCCTCGCCCCTCCCACCAAGGCTCCAGGTCTTATGGGCACTGAGTAGACATCTCATAACTGGTTTACCCCCTCCCTTAAAACCGGGGAGCATCTTCTGATTTGTAACCTGGCTGCTTCTCGCTGTCCCCAGGCCTGTGCTCTGGCCTCCCAGAGAACAGAGAAAGACAGGCAGGAGCAAATTATCTCAAGTGCACAGAGAATGACCTCAGGGAGATGCAACAAAGCCCACATGGGCGTGGCTCAGACCGGCGGTGCCCGGCCCTTCCCAGGCCTGGGCAGCCCGGGCTCCTGAAGATCACCCACCACCAGCCAGAGCTCTGGTTCCAGGGGAAAGCTTTGGCAGCACGAACTCAGGGGACATGGCCGTCCCTCACTCTCCCGCCACATCTCTGAAATAATGGCTCCTGTCTGACCAGATGCCATCCATATACTTCCACCCTTTGCACACGCGGATGGAAGTCCTAAAAAGAAATCTCCAAGAAGGCAGATAAAAGTCAGTGCCCACGATCGTGTCTGGGACGAAAAACTGTTTTTTATCCAGAACAAACAGAACCTCACCCCTGTCCTTCGAGGCCCTGGTGAGGAAGAAAGCGTGGTGCACGGGGTGCGTTGTGTTCCAACCTCGAAAATGGGTTCAGCTGGGAAGTTTGCCTACCTCACCCGGACCCCCGTCACTCGGACAGTAGATGTTCTGACAGAAAGGGGGAGAACCATCGCGAGCTGGCCTATTGGGGGAGAAAAGGAAAGTGGGGAGCGAGAGACACATCTGTGAGTCATTTGAGTTGAAATGAGCACATATTCTCTGGGCACAGAGGGTGGAGGAGGGGCTGGGCAGTTGGTTCCCATTAAACTTAGTAGCTTGAGAATTCCCCGCGTGCGGATGCCTGCCGGCCCGGCCCCGTCTGGGGGGCCAGAGCATCAGAGCCCCCGATGCCGCCTGGGAATGTCCCTCCTCCTCCTCCTCCCCCTCCGGCCGCTGACGCAGGGGACGCCAGTGTCTCCCCTGGGCACGGAGCGGGAGAAGTGTAGCCAGGAGGCCTGGGGACGCCAGGCCCTCCCATCCACCCCATTTTCCAAGACCCCTAATGAGGTATTTACATGACAGGCCAATTATGGCCCTTGAAAGAGTGGTTACAGGCCATGGGGTAATTAGTGACATTTTTAAAATACATTTTCAACCGCACAAAACTGTGTTTACACAATGTTAAGGAACTGGCTTCAGACCACAGAAGTGAAAAGAACTTTTGCAAAGGCAGAAAGAGCTGGGCCGCGCACTATGAAGGGCGCTTGTGTGCTTTCTGATGTGGGGGCTAATCAGGGCGAGGGTCGTTTCCCCAACCTGTCGGATGCGGACCTACTGCGTGCCAGGCAGTTGGCTGGGAGCTGGGCTTACGAGACGGACCGCAGACCAGTCTCTTGCCTTGAGGAGCCCACGGCTCTCAGCTGTACCACGGCTGCCGCTTGGTAATTATTCTACAAACACGAGTGAGGCATCTCCCGTGGGCCCCAGGGAGGCAAAAGGAGCCTTCTGAGGACCTTGCTGTTCTGGACTCTCTTGGGGTCCGTCTGGTGTTAGCATCTCCTCCTGCTGAGTGACGCTCGAGGCTCGGGGAGCCTTGAATTAGACTCGGATCTGGGTTTTTCCTGAGCTCACACTCTCTGAGCGGCTCTGGGGTGTGGTTATCAATTCGTTCATGGGTTCGTTCCTTCGCTCACTTGTTCACAAACACGCTGAATTCCTCCTCTCTGTGACGGAGACAAGGCTGAGTGTGGAGGGGTTGGGAGTAAGCATGTAGGGTCTGGTCCCGGCCCTACTGGCGAAGCAGGTCCAGGGTGTCAGCAGAGCGGGTGAGTCCTGTGATGGGGAAGCGGAGGGAGGAAGTCGGCTCTGCCTCGGAGGCAGCGCTGCGTGGGGCTGAGTCTTAAACGGTGATCAGGAGGCGGTCAAGGGAAGGGCAGGGAGGGGTTAACCGGTCCCTGGGCAGAAAGGAGGAGGTGCCCAGAAGGACCCAGGAAGGGTGGCGAGTGAGGATCTGGAGAGGTGAGTGGATCCAGGCCACACAGCGTGAAGGAAGCATCTTCCTTCTACAGGGGATGGGAAGGGCCCAGTGCTGAGTCACAAAGTGGCACGTCAGGGACGCAAGGTCACTCCTGGCATCTCCCACAGGAATGGAGATGGTGGTGGGGCCTTGCCAGGACAGATTAAAAAAGAAAAAGCCACAAGTCACCTCCTCGCAAACCGAAGTGTCTGGGCGAGGTGTGGTGGTCACGTGTTGACTGAGATGGCCGTACGCCATGAGTATAGACAGAACTGACTCCCTGAGGGGCACGGTCTGGATCTAGACAGAGGTCTGGGTGGACACTGGGAGACGCAGAGGGACAGGGAGGTCCAAATCCCTGCCATTTAACAAACCGCAGACAGACCTAGAGCAAGCCACTGGTCGCTTCTGCCCTCAGTGTTTCTTTCTTTTTCTTTTTTAATTTTCAGTGCTTATTTTTGAGTGAGAGAGAGAGACAGAGCGTAAGCAGGGAGAGGGGCAGAGAGAGAGGGGGACACGGAATCCAAGGCAGGCTCCAGGCTCCGAGCTGTCAGCCCAGAGCCCGACACGGGGCTTGAACTCATGAACCACGAGATCATGACCTGAACCGAAGTCAGATGCTTAACTGACTGAGCCACCCAGACGCCTCCTACCTTAGTTTTTCCATGTATAAAATGGGAAGCTCACCACCTGCTACATAAGCCTATGATTATAGTAGCAGTTGGAATAATACTCTATTCATTTAGGTAATACTATTGACACCGACTATGATCACTAATGCTGTTCAGCCCTATTTTTCAGCACCTCTATTAGGTGCTCTATACGACGTAGCCCCATTTTCCAGATGAGGAAAGTGAGGTCCAGAAGGGATAAGTAACTTGGCCAAGGACACAGATCTAAACCTCAGTCCCATCTAACTCTAGATAGCTCGTGCTCTTACATCCCTCGACCCGCACCATGCAAATCCTCGCATGAGGCTCAAGTCCCAAAGCCCGTCCACCACATGTACATAGTGTCCTGTGTCACCCGCTGTTACTCCGCTCCTCGACCACAGCCTTCAGAGCAAACCTCAGCCTTGCCCCAGGAGCCCAGCCAATCACCGGCCTGCAGCGCCTGGCCCACTGCTTCCCACCCACGTAAACTCTTCACATTCTTGAAAGGCCAGTTCAAACGCCGTCTCCTGCAGAGGAATTTTCCAGGGTCCCCGGGTGCCTGCTCAGAACTGTCACTGCACCTCTTACATTCACCACCACCAATACTTGCTTTCTTGTGCGTCTTTTCTGTGCCTGTATTTTATTTCCCTGCCTCCATTGTGTCTCCCCTCGTCTTACGTGGAGGGGACCCTCCTGAACTACCAGCTAACAAGCAGCTGTTATGTCCCAGCTACTGGAAACACATCTGCACACATGACAGTCAGTGTCCCCATCCTCACTAGAGAGACCGCGTCACGGACCAATGAACACATAAGAACATGTCCCATGGTGAGCATGAAAAGGAGATGAATGAACTCTGTACGATAAATTGTGACTGGGGTAAGGGGGACCTTCTTTAAATAGGGTGCTCCAGGAGGCCTCTTTGAGTGGCGATATATGAGCAGAAGAGTCAGCTGTGGAAAGAAGTTGAGAAAGGGAGTCCCAGACAGAGGGAAGCAGCAGATGCAAAGGCCCTGAGGTAGGAACAAATAGGAAAGACAAGACTGTGGTCATGGCTGTAGCATGGTGAGCCTGAGGGGAGGTGGGGGGGGGGATGAAATCCAAGAGCCAGATGCAGGCGAGGGCACGGGGGCCCTGGAGAGGTGCTTGATCTCATTTTAAGTGGAGGTGGGTCCACAGATCCTTCTCCTTTGAGGAGCTCATAAACTGAATGGGGAACCATTGCAGGAACATGCCCGCCCTATCTCTTGTGAGCATCACCACGCCCTTCCCATCCTGTATCAATTAAGCCACTCACTCCATCGCTCCTGACTTCAAAGGGAGAAAGATGGCGGAGAATTTACAAAGGACAATAAACCCAGTCCGTGGCAGGCTGCAAGCCCATAAACTTTTACCGGCTCCTCGACTCCCCAGAATACATCACTCCCTGCCCTGCCACCAAAGCACTGCCTTTATCCACAGCCAGGACAATAAAAAAAAATTTTTTTTTTTTTAATGGAATCGCACACCACCTGCGAGGAAACTTGGAAATAACATTTGCGTCGATGAAGCGATCTAATCCGAACAATGGAGGCCACTGGCCAGGATGCTGGCTTCCAGTTACAAGGGGCTCCTCAGCCACTGTGTGACTTGGAGCCAACCACTGCCCCTTCTGGTCTCAGAGTCCCCCCATTTGAAGTGATGGCTTGGGGTCATGTACTGCGGCCTCCCCATTCTACAAACCCAGACGTCTTCAAGCACTTGTCAAGGGTTCCCTAAGAACACGCTGGGTAACTCCGATCGTTGGCACCTGTCACGGAAACAGCGTCGCCGTGCACGGCAGGCGGCCTTAGGAATTGGCACAACTTTGGGGGAGACAGTTCGGCATCAGGTATAAAGAGCCTTTAAAAAGAAATAGTGCATGCGCGTGGGTCCAAGAAATGATCACATCAGAATACAGAGATGTAGATCAACGACTCTCAACCGGGCTCAATTTTGCTCCTCCCGTCCAAGGGCCACTTCGAGAAATCTGGACATAAGTTTGATTGTCACAAGTGGGGGTGGGAATGCCTCTGGCACCCGGTTGGGGGGCGAGGTGGCCAGTGAGGCTGCTCACCATCCTACAATGACGGGATAGCCCCCCCACCAACAAGCCCCCACAACAAACGATCATCTGCCTCCATGTGCCCAGAGTGCCCAAGTTGAGAAAACCCAGTGTGGACCAAAGTGTATTCACCCGGTGTTGTTTCAGGAGACGTGAAATAAAATTTTGAAAACTGGAAACAGTGAAAAAATACCTTCAGGCAAAAGAAGAGGGAGCGCATTAAGCAGGGGTCCGAGGCGGTCAGGAAAAGGCGAGCCGTGTCGCGGTCAGGGGCCTGGGAGTAGACTGCTGTCTGGGTTCAAATCTTGCCTCTACCACTTAATACATGAGTGATTCTGGGCAAGTCTCTTTTCCTTCCCAGGTCTCAGTTTATTTATCTGGAAAATGGGGGTGAGAGAGTCCTCACACCTTTATGGAGCTGTTGGGGGACTCTTAACATCACATGGAGAGAATCCGGGGATAGCGGGGACCAGTTCCTACCAGGCCCTGGGCACGTCGAGTTTGCGAGCCTGGAGACGGGCTGATAAGATAGACTGTCCGTGAGCTTAGCGTTACTTCAGAGTCCACCCTGACATGTACCTAGAATTACGTGGTGGGAGCCCTAGGTAGGGGCTTGATTTCACGTGTCCCTAGTGTATCTTATACAGTATAGGGTATACTTGTTAGAGAGGCTTATCTTATATGGAATGTGCCACTCCAACCTCACCACAACCCCCTGAGGTAGATTTAAGCATCACCCCTATCTTACAGAAGAAGAGACTGAGGTTCAGAGAAGTCAGCAATGTGCCCAAGGCCAAGGTCACTTGCTGATAAGGCAGCGGTGCCAGTGAGGTCCCACACCGGGTCTGCCTGACTCCAGAGCCCAGGACCCCCGCCCTGTGTGCTGGGAGGCATTCCCAAAAGGCTTTGCATTGCACAGGTTCAGATAGGCACTACCTGTTCCGAGAGTTTCCCATGAACGTAAACACAGGGGTGGGACAAGTTCCCCGGTGCCGTCTCAGTTCTAGCATGTTCTGGAAAACTCCTCAGTTCCAAGTGACCTGGAATGGTCGGCCTCCCTCATCGGGGTTGAGACTGTTGTCTCTGCTTCTCTCGGTGCACCCGGGCCTGGCGAGGAAGAGCTTAAGAGCATG